TGATGTCGGATGGATGGGTGGACGGACGGATGGACGGATGGGTGGGTGGAAAACTGCGTTGGATAGAGAGCACGCACGGAAAAGCTGGAAACTGGGGCAAAGGATGCTGCTGAGCTGTGCAGCCAGCCAGGAAAACACTCCCCTCCGAGTTCTCTAAACAAAATTATTTCCAAGCGCTGCCTTCAAGTATGATTTTAAAGCTAAGAAATAAAGTGACCTCACAAAAGATGTTTTAAGATACTCGCAATAATTGTTGCTGTAGCTGCGTTATGATGTTTAAAAGACTTTATCAGTGTCCAGTACAAAGGGAAATTCCCCAGATCTGAACCCATGAATGTACACTCTTTTTGCCTTTCACCATCTTGGATTTCCCCTACTCTTTGTGGGAAGGCTTTTTTTTTTTTTTTAAAAAACTCAGTCATTAAAAGACTTGGAAAAGTTGTGTTTTGGTCTCCACACCTCTAATTTAAACGCTTATTACTGGTTGAACTTACTCTTTGTTGAAATGACAGGTTCATTTTGTGTATGCCATATGTTAAAAGTCTGCTTTCTTAAATGTTTCCTTGCTTTTTTATACTATGGGAAAATAATTTTTCTCACTATATATTACAAGACACAGAGTTTGTCCAGTTCATTAGGGAAGCACTTTGTGGGCAGACATGGAATGTTTAAAGCAAGCACTGGAACACAGAGAACATGAAAATGTCAGAGTGTCTCTGCCGCCCAATGCCCCATCTCCGACTGTGGCCAAAAGCAGATGCCCAAGGAAAAGTATTAAGACTACAGAGAGCCTTTAAGGACACACTGCCTGACTCCTCTCCCAGTCTCCAACCATCTGTGGGGAATTCCCAAGGCAGAGAGGAGTGTCTGGTTATTTAATAACCCTTGCCAGTCCCCCCTTGAGCTCATGTGAACTTGCATCCATGACATGCTGTGGCAAAGAGTTGCTCAGCATGATGACGTGTCGTGTGGTTTCATCTGAAACCTCACCTTTTATCTAAACCTTCTATCTACCAGCACTGTTTGATGCCACTTCTGTACAGAAAGACAGAGCAAGCACTTTATATCGATGCATCCCCCCCCAACAGTCATGAGTCTTACAACCTCTATGTCTCTTTAGATTTCTGTTTCTCCAGGCTGAGGATTCCTATCCTCAGAGTCCTTCCATTCTATAGCACTGGAATTTAATGTCAGATTTTTCTTTCCTCTGAGAAAAAGAGGATGGGAAAATGGAAGTAATTAGAAAGCTTTCATCCTGATTGCCAAAATGTAACCAAGGGAGAAAATCCTCAAGTGCCTGGAATCAAGGATTCAGTATTTGACTTAGACCAAGGAAAGAGTAATAGTTGCTCAATTCCATGGACATGACGAAGTGAAAGTGATGCTACTTTCAGGATATAGCTTCCAGAAATGTTCTCCACCTACATAGCAATTTTGTCAGCTTCCAAAGTACGGTTTTGTTTCAGAAGAGCCATCATGTATATTTGGTTTAGTGCTCATCACCTTTGATCAATCACAGGAGAGTCAAAGTCTGTGTTACAGGATCCTGAGGAAGACTGTTCTCACTGACATCCTTTTAACATAATAAACACCAAGTTTGTGAGCTTGTAGATGAAACTATTCACAAAGTAGCTACAGCGCAGGCTGAATCAGTTCAGTCTTCCTCAAGTCTACCTTGCCAATGCGTCTCGGTCTCCGTGGCACGGGGCAGGCTGAGATAAGTGTTAGTTCCTTCTGATTCCTGCTCTCCTCACTCAGCGTGCCAGGAAAGGGCTGTCGGTGCAATTTGCTGTGGCTTTGGGAGTACTAATCGCTGCAACGTTTGGCGGACTTGCCTTTCTGGCATTCAGCGTGGACTCATCAATCTAATAAACTACTAACAGAGACATTAAAAATCCTTGGATTTTTACTGTACTCCTGTACACGTAGTAGATGTCTGCTGGTAGATGTCAGTATGCTTTCGTTTGGTTCTTGGGATTATTGCAGATGAAACCCCCAGAATTCCTTTTACATATACAGAAGCAATCTTCATATTCATTGTTATCTCTAAATGCACCGTTTCAATAATATGAAATTTGAAGACTCAGAGCAACACAAAAGGAATGTTATTTCACAAAGATCTTAAATAAAATGCAAATAATTAACCTCAGTGAGAATTGAGCCTCTGAAGACTGTACATCTCTAGGAACAGGTGGTATCCAAATGAAAAAGTCTGTAGGTTGGTCACTAATGTTTCCTCTTTGGCTCCTGTATTAGCAGCAAATATAAGGAAAAAAAAATCACAACAATTCTGACACCAATGTTGGGACATCTTCCTGTTGTAAATTCCAGATTCTTTTCTATCTTCCCCTAAATACACTAAGAATGTGTATTTAGGAAGTGTTGCTGTTTAGAAGCATTAGGGTACCTCTGTAAGAACAGTTTTTGACATGAAGCCCAAGTGATTGACTGGGGACATGTCTGTTCTCAGTCTAAAGGCAGTACAGGATCCATTTATTCCAGTTAGCTGTTGGTGTTACACATCTGTTAATGACCAGGGTGAGGTAAAATACAAACTTCAGTGGATGAACATGCCTGGCAATGAAATGGATAACCGGAAGCTGCACTTTCTGGTCAGCTAAAATGGACCTAACACTGAGCTGCAGGTACCCACCTCCTGCAGCCTGACATTTCAGCCCTCCTCCCACACAGTCACCAGTACTTGTGCAATGGTGCTAGTTCCGTACAACAGCGCTAATTCTGACCTAGCTAAAACCAAACTTTTTAAGGAGTTTGCATTTATCTTACCCAGCTCTGAACTGCTTTGGACTGCACGGCCACCACAGCCAGTACCAAATGGGGACTGTGACAGCACCGATTCCCATCAGCTTACACAGAACAACAGCTGCCAACTAAGCAGCCCCGTGCAGAAGAGGACACTTTAACAAAGCAGCATTTGCACTTTCAAGGAGGTGCGGCAGTTCACCAACTTACAAAATTGTAAAAACAGTCTTCTGACAAATCAGAAGGAAATCAGTTGGAGGGGTGAGGGAAGTAGATCCAATCTCTTTGCTTTCCCTGCTGGACTCCATATAGCAGGTTCTGTCACAAAAGGTGTCTGTGACGGACACTACCAACAACAGGATGAATTTAAAACTGAGGTTCTAGGTTACCTAAAGAGGTACCAAGCTCCTCTACACTTCCTGCACAGTACCCGAAGGATGTGACAGCACGCAAATCACACCTGCTAGTTTACAAACTGATACCAGGATTAGAACGACTGTTAGGATTGCTCTCCAACACGAAAAAATAGCGAGAAACATGCTTGAATGCTAAGCGTCCTGAGGGAGCTTGTCACGGGACACTCAAAAACTCAGAACTGCAGGTACTGTGCAAAAACATCTGCATGGTTCAGCTCAGTTTCAAACAGAGGATTTTTCAGTGTACAAGACAAATGTGACGAAACTATGGTACTTCATCTGAGATTATTGTGGCATTCCTATGGTTTTGGGGAAGGAAGGTTTGCGTTAAGGTGGTAAGTGCAGTAAGTGAACATGTTTACCATACACACACTTAAAAAAACAACTTAGAACACTTTTCCTGCAATACATAGTATTCTTCTTGCTTTAAAACTTGAGATGGGCTTTCTAGAAATCTCTGTACAAAATTCAGTTTTGTCCTATTATTGCCAGGAAGAATTTCCAGTTATAATGATTTCTGTAAGTAAACCATTCCACTGACTTGAAATCCTGTCAGAAGCAGCAAATTTAATGGTGTGAAAGAGCCACACAATATCCCACTGGTTGCTTCCTTACTCTTCCAAACAAAATCTTAATATATATCGCTATAACAAATCTCTTGTATTCTATGTGATCAAATGAATTCTAATTAGTGTGAGGAAATATTAGGGCTATCTGGCAAACAGTAAACATACCACTTAGCCCTGCTAGCTCCGTTTATTGGTGGTAGACGTTGTGCAACAATACCGCGAGGTCAGCAGTACTGAAGGTATTCTGCGAGTGCTGCGTAATTTCTTTGAAGTACAGAGTTTATGAATTTCAGTGTAGCTGAAAATCTTCAGGAAAAAAAAGATTGAAAACGTCACAACCTGAAATTCCAAGAGGATAAACCAAGTTTTAATTCAAATTGCACTGAGAGGTTACAGAAATCCCCTGTAAAGATGGAAATAATGGATCTAATTCATCCCTGCTGGACAACCATTGATGTTAACAGATTTACTGCAGGAATGATTTTGACAAAATGCGTTTTCTTTAGTTGTAGGCCTCACAGATTAATTCCATAATTGTACTGCTGAATTCTCCTAGTCAGCAACAATGATTTAAAAAAAAACCACCAAAAAACCCTCCCAGCTTCAGCCTGTGCAATTATATTCTTCACCATTTCTGTTGAATGCAGAGCCATTTTCTTGGTATTTGATATGCGTGTTTTTCCTCAAAAGTGTCTTTGTAGGGGATATGCCATGTATCACCTGTAGTCTGTACCACAACGTCATAACGGAAAGCAGGCTGTTGGATAAAGACAGATAAAAATATTTTTTTTAGACTTTACACAATATATTACTAAAATGCCAGTTATAAGTAGTCATAGTTTCCAACACTTAAATTCGACATCTCCATAGATTAATGTCTTTAACAACTCTCATTTATTTCTTTACACCAAACACACTGTAAATTTTAGTACTGAAGGAAAACCCAAAACTTAGTATTTTGTGGTCTAGGAGTCATTACAAACGGTTAAAATTCTGTCTTCATTCTCCACCAGATAACAATGATTTGAACATAACACACTCAATTTCTAGAAATAGCAAAATGATTGGTTTTTCGTTCAGTTAAATGAAATAATATGGAAATTAACTCAGAATGTGGAGTTTATAGGCTTGAACTGGTAGGATTTAATGACATCTCGTGTTTGTTCTTCCAGCATACCTCTTTACAAAACTGACTTCCTCTGTGCTGAGGAGGATGTAAGAGAAAGGTTTATTACTAACACTTTGAAGAGTGTCTAGTTGAACCAATATAATAACTATTTTTCTGGTCTGATATGTTATGCGTGTACTAACTCAACATAAATAACACAGAAGAAACATTACTGGTTGGCCATTAGCTTTCAGAACATACTTTCACTCTGTATGGATAGTCTTGGAGGTTTGCTTTCCTGTGACAGCTTCCAGAATAACCGAGATGACAGCCATGCCTGGGCATGTCAATCATACAAATCACTGGTATAGGAATTAAGATATGAAAATTAGTAGCCCTTTAATACAAAAGACAGAAAGAAGGTGTAGCTAAAGCTGTGTTAATCAGGTAATCCTACGTTCATTATTTAGTTTCATAAAAATAAACGTGTATATGGCAACGCTGAATGAAAGGCTGTCATTCTTATAAGCTTGTGTATCTCTGTGGTCTGCTTGTAATGACGAATATTGTTTTACAATTTTAACCAGAGCAAAAAAATGAATCTGCATAGGTGCAGTATTCCTTTAAGTAGGCAATAACAATGCAGACACACCAGGTAATAAAAAACTGCATGACATGTAATGTCACATAATGAATTTTTGCCTAGAAAAATCTTAAAACAGCTGCATTGCTGTTAATGTACTGTTCATGGCTCACAAGGACACCTGTCTCCTAGACAATGACAGCAGCACTCTGCTATAGGATGATACTGTGCTTGGAAAACTGTAATTTCTTCAGCTGAATATTGGCTATAAATCTGACTGTTCTGGGCTCTCCTTCACAAAATTCTATACATATGTTAGGCTAATAGTATAGTGAATACTGAAACATTTGTGTTCTCCTGCTTCTTTAAAATAAAGACGAAAGAAATTCTATCATACAATTAGGCAGCATTTCTTGTTAGTTTTGATAGTTTTTTGATAGTTTTTGATGGTTTTCATGTTTGTAGCATGCTTTGAGAATTTTCAGGAAACATGGCCCATTGGTACAAATCCATTTCTTAGACGCCAGTAAGAATCTTTCTCCTTCCAGAGTTTGAAATTGTGTATCTTTAATGAATATGCTCTGTGTACTTCCCAGCTGCAGCAGAAAACTTACCAAAAAATGTATAGGCTCTCCTTTTGAAGAGGTGGAAAACACTATCTGATGTCCACGCTGCCACTTACGGAACAGATGACGCGTCACGCTGTCAGAAAGACAAGCCTTGTGATCTCGGAGGAAGTCTCTAGTAACAAACTTGCAATGCTTGCCTGATTGAAGAGTGGCGTATAGCAAGAACGCATCATCTTCAGAGCTTAACAAAACAAATGGAAAAGACAGACGTCATTCACAAGGCAGTAAGTGGTTGCAGGAAATGAATCAAATGCTGATCTGGGATTTATTCATGAGCAACACTGAAAATTCCCATAGCTACTCCAGTTCTCTGGTAAAATAACGAATGGCTTACCACAGAGCACCAAAAGTTAAGAGTGCACTAAAAATTAACTGCATGCTACCCAGAGCGCTCTTCCTTGTTACCACAATCCAACAACACAATGATATAACCTTTTGCCACAAAAGTTAACAATACAGTGCTACACAGAATAGAATTGCTAAAACCCTTAAGCATTCCCCCAAAGCTTTGCTGGAATACAAACAATGATTATAAATGGTAATAAGTGTAATGTAGGTAACAGCAAAAATTTGTGAGTCTTTGTCTTTACGTGGGTAAATACACTTCCCAAAAGTGCTGTGATTGTTTGAAAAATATGTTCAACATTAGCTGCTATTTAATTGAAACAATTTTAGGGAAAATCCTCTAAAAAGACATTTATAGTGGGCATGAGTTACCCTGCATCTGGAGAATCTGAGCAGAACTTTGGTTGAAATAATTTTTGATTACTGTAGATTACTATAATAGTGACAAGACACAAGGTTAGTGAGTGTCTCCATCCTGGGGTAAAAGTGTCCCCTTTGGTGGTGCTCAGATAGCAGGAAAGCAAGCAATGTGCTTTGACAGCGAAGATAACAAGAGCCAGAACCGGAGGGGGAAGAAAACAGATCTGAATCAAGGAGGCAGACAGAAGAGACTTGGGTCTGGCTGTTGGGACAAGCAACTTGGCCAGAAGTTCTGGGAACTAGGATCACAGAAGAAATGACAGAGGTAGGTGAAGGATCAACAGTATCCAACTCAGATGGAGACCAGATAGAGCTGGAACTGAGGAAAAACTCAGACTCATTATATGAGGAAAGCAGGGTGAGGAGAGGGGATGCTGAGGCAGAGGCAAGTACCTAGTTTAGATACAAGGACAGGCTTGACAGGAAAAGAGAAAGGGGGTCATGCTTCTTAAATTAGAGAGGCAGAGGGTCTATTTCCACTCACAGAAATAGTCTTCTTTGGGAGCAGCAAGGAAATCAGTGCTTCAGAACCTCCACATTACTGGGCTACGAAGCAACACTGGCCAGGCATGAACTTCACCTCCTCCTTTTGCTGGGTTAACACAGTAGACCACGACTGTACACTGACACTATCAGTATTCTGTAAATTCAGCCCACTGTGGTATTGGCAATGGTTTTACCAGTTATAAATCCTAATAAACCATAGGGATGTCAATGTGATTCTAAGTGACAAAATTCTTCATAACACAACTTTTAATATGTATTGTCTGTTGAAGCAACACAGAGCTAGACATACTACCAATGGCACTAAACACAGCAGCAAAATGTACATATATCAGGTCTTGATCTCCATTACATTTAGCCATTTCAACTTACATATTTTCAGCAAAGAAGAACTCTGCCTTATTCTGCATCTCCTTCATAATCTCTCTTTTCCAATTTGAAGAGTTAATCAGCATGTGTTTGCGGCCCAGCACAAGCAACCGAGCGTTCTTTTTTGCCAGGCAATTGACAGCATCAAATAGCTGCAGAAAACAAAGCAAAACCAAAGGTTTTCTTAGCTGTAAAAACGAATTGACAGGAAACACTTTCACATCTGTGTCTCAACCCTCATTTCCCACAGATCTTAACTGCAATATGGATTAAGTAGACAAATAACTTAACTTCCTAATGACAAAGGAAAAAAAAACAAACACGCCACCAAACCATCGTAGGAAGCTGCTTTCAACCACACAGAAAATTGATTGCTAATATAAACCTTTCCCAGCTCTTGCAGCTTGGATGACATGAATGAACTCAGGAAGAGCTGTACGGAGATTTCAGAAATTCAGAGTCAGCTGAGGGAAATGAATCACATTGGGATTTCAGTAATACCTAGTTTTGGAAATTATTTAGCACCAAATCCTTCGTTGGTGTTAGAGGACCATACTGCTTTTTCAGCCCCACCTAATGTCGAAATTGGAGAACTACATGTGATTTGGGCTGCTCTGTGGGGAGGAAGCGAGCAGCAGTAAAAGGAAATGTGACCTCAGGATTAAGGGTTTATGAAAGCCACATCCAGACTAGCCTCCCACTTATGAACCAGCATCCTGGGGTGACAAATTCACTGCTGCGCCAGCTTCTCTTCAGAGGGACTTTTCACCCGCCTCTCAGGGCTGTGCCTGTGCGGCAATAAATGCTTCTCAGGCCAGGCACTTCTGCCTGTGGTTTCCCCTCCCTGCTTCACCCAGACAGAGCTCATGGAGAGCAGAGGTTCTGGCTTTCAGCATCCCTGTTATTGCTGCTCACAAAGCAATGGCACTTCAGTTCTGCCCAGAAAGAGAGCAGAACTGTTTCTTGAGACTGAAGCATCATGTTTGAAGGCTGAGGATATTATGTTGAACCACCAGGGAAAGGTGCCTGCATTTGCTGCCGCTATTTGTCAGTATACAATCTCCTGATTTTCTCTAATCCATCTTCCTCTTTTTTTAGCCACTTCCATCTTCCCTATTATCTTGTCTCCCTGCAAGACTCCCAATCGCCTTTCTCCTCTTGCTCTTTCCCCTCCTTTCCTCCTGTTTGTGATACTTTTTATTTGATATCATTATCTTTTGTTTCGGGTGCTAGAAAGGATTGTTCTTCTAACTCTTGGGTACGATTTTACAGTGCATTTAGTTTGATCTTCCCGCGAGGAGCAGTTGAAAGGGGGAGTCCCACTCAACGCTCTCTCGAGCTGCACATTCCCACTACTGCTGTTGCGTCAGATCTCATAACGTCACAACTACCCACGAGCCCACTGATCCAACAAAGGAATTTTTTTTTGCAGGGTTGAGCTTGCAGCCAGACAAGGGACAGATCTGAGGTGCTGATGGGAACACAGCGCTGGAGGTGGTGAGGGCAGGAAGCGTGGGGCTGCCCCTCTCAGCAAAGGACCTGCAGGTGGATCGAAGCAAGCATGCCGTCCCGCTGGCTCTGAGGATCTCAGAGAGGAGACCAGGAGATTTTCTACGTTTTTTCCTACGTTTGTTGACCTACAAGCTGCCGTTACCAGAACTGACTCCGAGGGACCGATGGCTGTTTTCCTGGAGACACAGGGTCTCGGTGCTAATGCAAAGTGCAAGAGCCTAACGAGACACTGCCTGCTCCCGGGAGATCATGCTGGACATTGGCTACGCACACACAAAATCTACTTTTCCCTGGTTAAAACAAACAGGACATAGTGTGAACACGAAAAGGCCAAGTGCTGTAATTTCTGCCTATAAAATGGCAGGTAAAAATAGAAGTGGCATTCTGTCCTATGCATGCCCTGAATCTTTGGAGATAAGTTTCAGAATTCTTACTGGAACAAAGAATTGAAAGATGGAAACAAAAGCCACCATTTTTACATTACTGGAAGGCTTTCAAAGTAACTACATTATCTAAAAACATATCTTCTCATCTATGCCACATAATTTATTTAATTACTAAATTATGTTATTAAAAATTGAAAAACTGAAATTCCGCTTTTCAATATTGACATTTCTTTTTGGAATGTCTCATCTGAGTGGTGAAAAATGGTAAACAAATTTTATTTGTTTACAGTCACTTTTATTTTCCAGTTCTCATGAAATTGGCCCAGTCCTGCAAATAGCTGCATACAAATAGCAAAGCAGAATTAACTTTGTTAATCTGAGTTCACTGAACTTAATAAAACTTAGGAATGTATCTACAGCTTCTACACACATTTTCACGTACAGAAGTCAACAGTGCAGAAATATCAACCATGAGTAACTTAAGCCAACCCTTACAAATTCCAAATAACAATACCTTCTCTTCTTGCCTAATGTTTTGCTACGTTAAGGGAAGGTTAAGTGAAGTCATGTGAAAAAAAATAATTAAAACATTTTTCAAAGAACACTTCAGAAACTGATACCACAAAGTCTAAAATAAAAATCTTGACAGCAAGAGCACTCTGATGGTACAACAGGCAGACTGAGTCCAAAAGAGTCTCAGGAACGTAGCTGTACTAGCGGTACTGCAAGTCAATAAAGTATTTCCTGTATTTGGACTGCTGGAGTTTAATCCCAATAAAAAAGGGAAACACCTTTTAATTACAGTTATGGTTCAACACAGAGGCAGCTGGATTTCCTGATACAGATTGGTCGATATGGGCTCTTCCCAAGTTAAAACATGACTGACTTGGATCAAGCTTCCTTAAGTCTCTCTTCCTGAAGCTTATAACTAGTGGCACTTTGTGTGTGTTAGCTGGACCTTCTTCTCCTACATATTATTAGCATATGAGGTTCTCTAGCATGAAGTGCTTTTGGAAAAAAAAAAAAAGAGGTTGGTATAAATTAGCTGCAGTTTTGCAATGGAAAAACTCCAAACAGGCTTAAAACATAATACAATTAATGGGAATAAATTTTGAAACTCCTGCTCGCTGAACAGCAAGCTGTCCCTCCTCTACTTACCACGGAGATTAACGTTTACTTACTCAACTAGAACACTGAAGATGGAAATTATTTTTTTTTTCACAAGATAAAAATAATTTTTTTCCGCACACTCCCTTGCCTGATTAAACTTTACTAAAGAGCATTTCATCTCATTTCTGGCTTGGGCACTTAACAGGGGTCGTCTACTGGGAGTCACAGAACTTACATGGGGGGGTTTCCTAAATGTGTCTACTCCCACGCCTGCCTGCTTCTCAAGAAAGGAAGACATGAGACACAAGAGTAACGCTTGTTTTAGTCACAAAGGAAACTGAACATAATACTGTTAACAAAAAATAGCACTTAAGGACACAAGTATTTTATTAATCTAGTATTTCCAAAAAGTTATCTCAAAATTATTATCTGCCACTACACAATGGAAATATACTATATGCAATAAACTCTCCGCAGATGCACCCTTTGAATGTTCCCACATTATTTAGGCAGCCAACATCAGATGCTCAGTTGGATCATCTATTCAAAGGGTAACCTGTACAAAATATTTAAATGTATATAACACACAGATTACCTATGCTATTTATTTTCTTGAGAATTACAAAATTAGTGAGACTGATGCTTTGTGAAAATGAGTATCTTTCAAACTTGAACAGCAGAGCATATAAGAACACGTTTTCTCTGCAAACAGGAGCTACAAGATACCATTCTGCACAGAAGATAAGACTGGCTGCTTGAATTCATGCAGCGAGATGTGGCTGAGGGAGAGCAGTAAGAAGCTGTGAGTCGCTGCTGTTCGGCACAAATCCCTGGCCACAAAACAAGGCACGAGAAGTTCTGCTGAATTATATAGATAACTACCATTGCATTCAGTTTTGTTTTCTTTTCCTCTGGCAGGGCACACAGGGATCCATGCCCCTTGCTGAACAGACATTTTAATCAACTGTTTGTGAACCTCACTAGTTCCTTCTCCAAGAAATCCAAGTTCATTAGCACCTGCTGAATACATTCTGCTTGCAATCCTTTTCATCATCTATCAGTTACATTTACATTATTCCTGTGCTGTCTCAGTCTTTTTGTAATTGGATCTTTCTCAAGCTTCCCCTAAGCCTTAACCTTTTCCTTACAATGCCAGCACTTATGGAGCCAGGGCGCAGCCACAAAGAAGAATGAAACCACATGCAGATCAATGGAAGAGTCAAGGCCCAGCTGTTCACAAATGTACAAACTATCTCCCGGTGTGGTTCCTATAAGCACACTGCTAATAATTTTTTCTATGTTTTGTTTTTAATTATTAAAAATAATCCATAATGACATAGATAGATGTATCCAGTGTGCATGTTCAAATTGTGATCTCTGCACTCTAATCTGTGAATTAGCGAAACCAGCACACTTGTACAATACTTTGGTTGAGCGTATAAATTCATCTTTCCTTAGGACAGTCACAGAGATAGGATTCCCTACGTGTAAATGAATTCTTTTTTGTTATCGCAGCAATGCCATTTTATGGAATTTCCCCTCCACCACCAAGCTCCTTCCCTCTTATGCCAATGCACATTTTTGTTCTTCCTGTTGTGCTGATACAATCTATTTGGCCCATGTTGTCAACCAGATCATGGCACAATCGCAATTGCGCTCACATACCAGGGCAGGAACTTGTGGATCAGAGGAGCCAGAGTGAAAAGAGGTGGGGAAGCAGAGAATTAGGACAGAGAACACATACTTCAAAGGATCATGCTGCTGTTGAATTGCTCATGTCATGTAAAAAGCCAAAACTTTGCAAATATGACATAAAGCAACCAAAAATGCTGTAGTGGGTAGTTTACATTTTAAAAATCATCAAGTTATACCTTAAAAAAAATCACTCTTCAGGTAAGAATAAATATTAAAAATTTCTCACAAGAACAGAACTTTTCTGTACAAATTCCTGGAAATAGTTTTGCAGTGATTCACACCCACAATTCTGCATAATTTAATGGGGATCAAACATAGGAGTGAGGCTGGGAGAGCAGTGAATTTCTGGCACCTTGCAAGATTGATCCTCTTTCTTTAAACTTCACAACAGCCTTATGAAGAAAATGAATAATTACATCTCCATTTTACACAAGTGCATAATGGTGCAC